TGTGGATAGGAGGTTTTGTCACATAAAACCTAATTTGTTCTTTGACAAGGATGCAAGACTTGATGATAAAGTTATCCCAAAACTGTAATATTCTTAGAATGAGATACTGGTACATCTGATCCTGTCTGGGAGTATGGGAAAGAATTGATCATCCTTTTATTTCCTCCAGTTGTACTTTTTATTAATCTATGATATTACATCTTTTTTTTGAGGTTTTGAAATAGAATTGTCTCATATTCTATTGTCTCAAAGATTGATTAAACTTTAGAACCAACGAAGAATAGAATATATGGACAAAATATTAACTGACAAATGCCAAAAGAGATCTACTAATAGGAAATCACGAGCAAAAAGGTGTTGTTCTTGGGCAGATTTTCTGGGAGTGATTCTGATTCAGGATTATGCTGTTGTAGATGTTTCATTAAGGAGTATCAAGGAAGTACAAAGTAATTCTTAAGTATAGACAAAGCCTGGTAGCTTGTTAAGTAAAGATAAGGGCAAGAGAATGATCCAGGGGGATCTAGCATCATGCGATTGCCACCTGGCCTATTCAAATAATTCAAGATACACCATTGAAAAATGGTATGTTATGATCAAATGGAAAACAGGGATCCCCCCCAGAAAAAGGCTTTAGGAGTCATATTCAGGAAACAAATGAGTGCAACTGTTCAACAAAGAGATGTGATCATGAGAAGTCTCTTTAAGAGAGGGTTTCATATATGTGGTCTGAATTACGTAGTTTTACAGCTGAAGGTGATGTGGAGAGAGCAAACCATTTCTTGAAATCTGGCTCTCCTTTTCTGTGTTTTTAAGCTTACGTAAGCAGAAGAAGAAAGAGCAGAAAACAGTATGACTTTACAATTTGTAAGCTCATTTTTACACAAGGCTGAGTTTATTCCTGCAATACATTTTGCACAGAAAGCAGATGTATGCTGTGCAAAAGATCCCCGAATTAAACCTATCTCACCCTGTAGATCCAGACCACATAGCAAAACATTTTGCAAGATGTAACCTCAAGTCTCAGAGTCAACTAGGAAGCCCTGCCTAGAGGGACTATGTCAGTGCAGTATTTTCTAAAGTTAAGTGTAGAAAACAGTGTGCAGTGGAAGTCTCCTTAATATGCAAAAGTTATCAAGCCAGACATAGTCTAGTGAGAAATAAATGACTATGTTTGCTTGAGTGGTGGAGGTAGTTAATCACCTAATTAACTGTCTAGAGACATGGTGACCTCTCTGCTTCTTGATGCCTCCAAATCAAATTATGAGCCAGATACTAATTTATTGGACAATGTTAAGACCTCTGACATACCTCTGACTGGGAAGACTTGGCTGGCACACCTTTATGCCCATAAAAACAAGGTTCTTGTAGAATTCTACTAGGCATCAGTTCCCAGCATGGATTCAGTCATGTTTCACAATCTGGCCTGCTCGGGTCAGGAGGAGCAGGGCACAGGCAGCTCAGAGCACATCATTCCGCGGTGGAGGCAGCACAGGAGGCATGACACTGGTTTTTAGATGTCATCTCATGAAGGATTTGATCTTCCTGTAAATTGCTAAGAGTTAGTTATACAAAGCACTTGAACACGTTGAAGCAGCTGGTAGAGATGGCTGAATAATGTTTACTTTTTTACTGTCATAAAAATGTCAATAATTTAAAAAGCCAAGAAATAGTTTGGATTCAAAAGAATCTAAACAAAACAACCCCAAAACAAAACCAAACCAAACTGAAACACCAAATCAACCTATTTATGAGTTCTGGGTTTCTTTTATGGAAAAAAAAAGTAACATCTTTCTCATGAAAATTCATCCTATGTCTAAAATAGAGGACTTATGAAGAGAATTTTTCAATCATCCCACAGATGGAATGATTTATGTTAGAGATGAAGCCCAATAAGACTAAGAGCACTTTTTTCTCTCCATATATGCTTACATATGTATAAAGAAAGGCATGCATACATAGTTTCAATCCAAGCTATGTATTCATATCCAAAATACCTATTCTGGAGGTCTGCATAGGCCGTGTCTGGCTTCCTGTGGAGTTCCAGAGGCTTTAAGATGTGTTCAGCAGAAAATACTCTTTATCCATAAAAATTTAGCTGCTATCACTCATGTACTTGAAAGCAGCACAGCCTTTTAGTAGCAATACTAAACGCAATGCAGACAGCTACATTGTAATTGCTTCTGTTATGAGAGAGAGCATTATTTCATCTGGAAGCTTTTGGCTTATGGCTACAGGCACTTACACTTAATCATCCTTTTACCTCTGTGATATCTTACAGCAAGCAGAAGTCTTCATACAGCAGGTACCTTGAGCAAAGGTTGCATGTATTTGGCACCATCCAATGGCTTTCATACCTGTGGGGCTTTTTTTTTTCAGCTGTAAATGGCATGGCAAGATAAATTAGGCCATATTCCTTTCTTTCATGGAAATGGTGTTTCACCATGCTGTGATACCTCCTCCCATGTTGCCTCACATGCGTTGAGAAATGCAACAGATTTAACAGCAGTTTTAGGATTTGTCTTCTGAAAACATCATTTCAAAGCTGTGGAATCAGCCATGCTTAAAATGAAATGCCCTCTCAACAGAATGGAAAGAGCTGGAACTTAATATTTCTTTTTTTATGGCCTGGCCCCAGAAAATGCTGACCTCCTCCATCTGTCCATTTTGACTGACAAATAAGGGTCAATCTGGATAAAAGCCAAAGTTTTGAACAAATAAGTGTATTGGCAGGAACATCCATGGAAACTAGTTTATTTAAGAAAGTATTTAATAAGAAAACATTTGCCAAGAGGAAATTACAAATATATTGTTCTCAAAATCCAGAATATGTTCAACCAAATAATGAACAGACACATACTGTATCATTTGTGACCAGCCAAAGCAAAGAAATTTTGTTTCACAATACTCTAAAAATGGCTATCACTTGATCTACAGAGCAGGAATGATTCACATGAATAAATCTGAAAAATCAGCAAACTGATCCTAAAAAAGAGACAACAAAATGCTGTAAAATGTACAGATTCCTTAGTCATTATTTGAGATTATTCAGCCTCCAAAGATTTGTGTTGTTCTGGATGATTCAAATATTTCAGACAAATGAATTCATGTTTAGTCCTTAGTGGATAGACTGTGGTGTGATGGTAGATACCTGAGAACTTGTAGACCTGCAGAGAGCTTTCATTGTTGTAGTCACAATATCTGATCTGTAGCTTTTAACCTACACTCCCCCTGGTCCCCACGTATTTTAGGGCTCTGTCAAGAGAGTCGGAGAATGAATGTAATTTTTCATTTGGGTAGGGAGAGTGGGAGAAATTAGCCTAGATGGGATGATCTCGCTTTTCATAAACCTGATGCTGTTTCTGGCCAGGGAAGGAAGCCCTGCCAAAATCTCACCATTCCAAAACGGGGCCAGCAGTGATCTGTGGGGGTTTAGGACAAAACTGAGAAAAGCCATCACTTACTCAGTCACCTGGGTCAGCAGTCAGCAGCTTCTTCAGTTAACTGTGCTTTGGCAGCGAGGCTGCCCATCTTCAAGACCTTATTGTAACTGAGCACTGCCCCAAGCAAAGGCCTGGGAGTAGATGAACTTTGGCTGCAAAATGCAAAAGGGGCAGAAATATTACTTTGTGCCTCAGAGACCTCTTGTTCCTTTTTTCTTCCTTTGTTCCCTCTGTCCCTCACCCTGCTTTGCCTTCTTGTGATGGACAGAAAGAATTGGCAGAGCTTTTACCCCCAGCTCTTCTGCATAAAAGCAGTGCTGCATAAAAGCCATGACTTCATTTTCTCTATTTTTCCAGTCCTTTTGTGTATTGTCTGTAGATTTTAGCATCCACAGACATGCAGCATCCTCAGCAAGGAGTTCTGCAGCACATCACTGAATTATTCCATACCTGCTGACGTTCCTCCAAATTTCAGCTTCTCTTCCCACACCTTCTTCTTAGTGAATCACAACCAGCTGCTGCTCACCTCACCATGGCCACAGCCATCACCCAGGCAGTGATCAGTGGTGAGTTATAGCAAAGTCCGCTTTAATTAACAAAAACAAACAAGGGCTATGTTACAGTGTGAAGACATAAGCCCAAGTTAGAGCTAAGAAAACAACCAACCATTCTGGGGCCAGAAAGCTTATGTGAACTGCCAAGTACTGAGGAACATTGAAACTTCACTGACATTCTCCCTCTGTGAGGAACATTGGTTTTGACCTGCCTTTTCCAATATAAACATAATTCTATGTGTGTGTCATAAAAATGCACATACAAAAAGAACTGTTTCACTGCCCATTCGTCCCTTGCTGAGAAGGAACAAATTGAACAGACAAATAGCATATGTTAGTCACATTGCTTCACGCACTGCTGGAACACTTTCAGATACTCTGGTGCCTTCAATTAGGGTCTCTGTACAATGAAATATAAATGATTTTTTTGGACGGTACTGTGACATCTGAAATTAAGTATGAATTACATGAAGCCAGGCAAATGTGACATCCATCAGAATAAGTATGTACCAACCTTCATTAAATATATGCTTCATGGAATTCTTTCATCTGGATAAATTGCAGATGACTGGCAAAGATTTGAAGTTTTGATTTTTAGTACTGATGCTATTCATATTATTTGAGTAGCCGTAATTGTGAAGTGGCTTGTTTAGAGCTAACGTAGATCCTCTTCTCATACAAATGGCACACATAATACTCTCAAGTATCATCACTGAAATGGGGCAGTCTGTTGACAGCTGACAAGATCAGAGACATCTCAGACTGCTCAGAATCTGCAAACAGTTTTGTGAGAAAAAGTTCCAATTTCAAAGCTCTTTTCCTTTTGAAGGATTTGTACCTATTCTGCTTATAAGATTAATTTTTCATTATTCTTGCTTTCAGTACTTTTCCTGAATGTTTTATGTAATGGTTAAAGGGCACTCTCCAACAACGCAAAAAGTATCAAATCAAATATTTCAGTTAAAACATCACTTTTATTTGTTTCTTGCCAGAAGTCACTGTGTCCTTCTGCCTAAAAAAAAATAAAGAATCAGTCCCTTCACATCAGAACTCTCCAATCAGCATTATGACATCTTGAGAATCTCTCATCCATTTTAGTGGGATTAGGACCAGGATTAGCATTTTTACAGTAGATTTCCTCAGCATGCCCTAGAGTAAAGCGTTGTAATCCTTTCTCACACCAGAAGGTGGCAAGCACTCTTAAAGGATGAGCTGTATTGAAACAAGACAGGCTCCTTCCCGATAAAATCTCAGCCACCATTGTCCTCTGCTCAAGCACACAGCCTTGGGTTTTCCAGCCAGAGATTTGTGTTTAACGGAGTCCAGTAAATCACAGCAGGACAGCACTAAAAAGGAAAGTATGAAACACATTTAAACATATCTTCTGTTGTAATTTAAGCAAAGGACTCTGAGGCTAAAGTAGAAAATAATTGTGTAGAAAGCAAAGCTGACCAGAAAAACTGAGATTTCCACCCCACAGCAGCTCTCACAAAAGCAGGGTTTCTAAGAGATCCGGATGCCTGCCAAGCACAGCCACAGAAGAACTGTGAAGTACCTGGAGCTAAACCTGCCCCACAGCCCTTAGGTAAATGCAGATTAGTCTTACAAAACACTAAATAATGCTTTGCATGAATTTTCTCAGTAAGAAACTGGCCCCGAAGCTTATTTACTGTTTTTTCAGCAAAAGCTGCGCATTTTTAGTGTCAGTCATAGAAAATGGGGTAATTTGTGTGTGCTAACAGCAATAGCGGAACAACAATGTGTGCCGGGGTGCCAAGTTGGAGGCGTTGGTAGGAAATTGCCTCCCCAGCACTTTCTTCTCAAGCATTTTAGTTGCATTTCAGTCTGTAACTTACGTGGTGGAGGGGGAAGAGGTCACCTAGGACATGCTGCACATGGATGCCTGAATGCTGAATTAATACATCTAGATAAATCTGTTATACAAGGAAACCAATATACTCTCCATGTTGGTTACATCATGACTTAATTTTAGCACTTGGCCTAAAGACTTCATATCCACCGGATTATTTTCCTGACAGCTTTGTATGTGTGTGTGTCTATATATATATATATATATATAAAACCTTTAATAAATTGGTGGAAAAGAAAGCTTTCAGATAAGGACATAATTTCTGAGCCTCTTTTTCAACTCCTGAAGGCCTCAAAGCATGAGGAGGGCAACACAGTCTTCAGATGCCCACGAGAGTTGACAGGAGCTGATGAGTTGAAAGCGGTGATGATACAATCCTCTCTGACATTAATCCTGGGCTGGGAGCGAGAGACTGCTCCTGACACTGTTAGTGTCCTTAATTATATACTGCCACAGTGCAAGTGGCTGCAGTGCTGAGAAATCAAACTCAGCCGTACCACCCCATGCCAGGCACTTGGTGGAAAGGTGATCTCTGCCCCTTCCACTTCCACATGAAAGCTTGACAAAAAAGAGGATGTAAGGGTATGTTAGACAGCAGGGAAGACAATATCTCTGTCTTCATGGTGGACCATGGACTCAGCTTTTCTTTTCTCTTGACCATGTTAAATATTGGGGAAAGAAGGTTGTTGGAGATTTTTAAAGGTACCACATCAAAAATGCAAAATCAATCACATCAGATGCAAATGGATTTGAGAAAGTACAATCATCTCGCATGCATCCAAGCCATACTCAGAACCCACTAATCCCCATTTAGGATTTGTTATGTCTAGAGGGGCTAGGCATGCCCATCTATTACTTCTAACCACCAAACCCACCTCCAGGAACAAAACCTGCCCTGTCTCACAGGCATGTTTCACTTGAAGTACCCTGCTGCAAGTGGCTTCATAGCCTTGAGCACCTCCTGCTCACAGCTCTGCAACGGGAACTGGCTTCGCCTTGGAGCAGAATGCTGACAGAGTATTTCACCCCTCATCCTTCGGTTACTTTGCCCCATGCTGCAAGCCCAGTGTGTTTGTACTTGTGACTGAGCTCAGCAGTGAAAAACCCTCTGTTTACTGAGCCCATGTATCAAGCTCAGAGCTCAGAGCCTAAAGACCTGCTATTCCCTGCAAAATTCATGCTGACCTACTGAGCTGGTATCAAATCCATGGGCAGCAGGAGAAATGGGGTGGGATAACATCTGAGATAATGCCAAGGGATATAGTGCAGAGGAACGTTAATGGATACAGAGGAAGTTTGAGGCAAATAGGTTTTAATTAGAGCATCATTCAGCCTTTTGGATATTATTTGCTGAATACTAAGCTAGATTTAACAAGGCATTTCCTTGCCAACCGTGGCATACATTAAAGATTTCCCAGAATGAAGACATCCTAAGGGAATCCTAAGCAGAAGAGACCTAAACCAGAGTTTAAAGGGTGAAGTCTATCTTTTACCCTGCTTCCAAGTATCTACAGGGCAGTAAAACATTATTGCCTGCTCACCCCAGCTCCTGCTTACTTCTGCCAACTAGTCCTATTATTCCAGTTTTAATAGGTGTTGCTGGAAAACAGGACATGAATAGATGCAGCCTTCTCAGCTGGGTTCAAAGCAAGCACAAAGCAAGGACCAGAAAGGACAAGAAACAAAGGAAGGAACTAGTTAAGTTGGACCTGCAAGTGAGGGTTCCTGCAAACATGAGACTGAGGCTGAGTGAAATCTGCAAAGACTTCCTGACTGTTTTTGGAGAAAGATGCTGCCTACTCTTTTCTCCTGACACCGGTACCCTTTCTGCTCCTTCACAGTTACAAAACTGGACCACTGCCCCATGTCTGGTCCTTTTCATTTGGAAGTACCATGCTAGGTAGCTCAGCAGGCTGCAAGTACCAGCCCAGTCATCATCTGTCCAAGCAAAGGAGACCAACTTGGCCTTCTGGTAACAAGGGGCTGTAAGATACTGGCTACATACTGGAGGATTTGTCCCTGATACAGAGAGCTCCTCATGTAGAACAAAGCAGAAGCCATACACGTGGTATCAGCTTTGTGAGACCTCAGCAAGCTCTCTTGGATGAACACAAATTTCACCTCCATGTGGATTTCCAGAACAGCTGAAGGCTGTGAATGTGCCATGCGGCATATCTTGGAGATGAAGAAGGGGCAGGAAGGAACAACTGGCAGGGACAGGATCGCATCTTAATGCCAGCTTCCTCAAACTGGAATATTTCTTATTTAATTACCTTCCAAATGCCATTTTTACCCTGTTAAAAATGAAGCTAGATTTTAATATTAAAATAACTGTTAAAAAATGTCAAAACAGAGTAAGCTTACCCAGATTAAAAATTCATATATATACTTTTTTAATCCTTTGCTCCATTTCTCCAAATTCCTCCAGGTCAACACAAACAAAATTCCTCTCCTGACTCTTCAGTTTGTCTCTTACAAGACCATTATTTATTTAGCCCTATGTTTATGCTTAAAGATGCATCTATCAGAGCCTTTTTCTAACTCTTAAGTATCATAATACAGCCTAACACGATGCTGTGACTTTTCTGTGACTGTGCACTATGACCTTCATACTTTCAAACATTTCCTGCCTTTTCAAAGAATATGGGTAGTTTACTAGGACAAAACCAGTCCATCTCAGGACTCTCCAAAAGCTGACTATATTCTGCCCTTGACTATTGTCTCCAGTTGAAAACTGGATTTTCTTTTATATATTTTCAGAAAAGAGATTGAAAAGTAAAAGAAAGGGAAGAGGAATGTAAACCTTAATGTGCATACCAATGTGGCAGGGAGTGAATGCAAGGAAAATTCATACTCTGGCCTCTCCTCCTCTGTAGCCCAGGCGGAAAGAGCCCCTGCGACTTCCACCTTTGGCGGCTGTTCAGTGGATCGCAACTGAAGGTGCTCACGTGAACCTATGGGAGTCAAACCTGCCAAGTTCCTCTTAGCTCCACTTCGTACAGACTCATCCTTATTTAATGCTGTTTTTTCCCCTGCTGTGGCTTGGTGCAGCTCTTTGTAATTTCCGTTAAGATGCGCAGGTGAGAAGCATCGCATACTTCAGAGAGGAGCAAACAACTTCTCTGCCTTCCTGTCATCTTGGTTAGACATGAGATTCAGACTAGAAAGAAGTCACAACTAGACAGTCAGAAGTGTCCTGAGATTCTGGTGACAAAGAAAGGACTGCAGCAGAGGAGGCAGACACTGCTCATTGATAGTTCTTGCCCCAAGAGAAGGCAGAATTTGACCACGGCACTGAAGTCAATGAAAACTATTGAGTTTCCAAAGCCCAGTGAAATCATGAGGTATGAAACAAACCTGTCTGTCAGGGAGTTTTTTGGAAGAAAGGGGCCCAAAGTCCTGGTATCTCCAGACTCTGGACCCACATTTGCCCCCCACCTGCCCATTTCTGTTCAGAAACTTGTGCAATCCCTATTCTAATGCTAGATTTCTGACCATAGAGTTGTTGAGGCAGAATCAATACCGCATCGAGTTCTCATGCTCCTGGCGCCGCTAAGGAAATGGCTGTTATTTCCTTGATCTACAGCTGTCCCTATTTGTCACTACATCTGCAAGCATGACCCTGGAAGTCAGACCCCATTACAGCAACAATCACCAGTTCAGGCAGAAATTAACCAAAAAAGGATTTATTTATTTTTATCAACAGCAAACAAGCAAACAACAACAAAATGCATCATGGCAAGGCACTTGAAAGAAACTCATCAATTTTAATGGAAGTTTAAGTGATTGTATTGAAACCAAGTTAATTATATCACTGTATTATTGCTGTCTGACAGATTAATCTCATTTATAGTCAGTGGAGAGGTAACCCACACTAGAAGCCCATTGCAAAGCTTTTCATTGATTTCTGATGGGCTTTGGATTGGATCTTTGGCCAGGTTTTGCTTTATGCCTCTATAATGCTGAGCCATGAAAGAACAGAGTTTAGTTCTACTTTTGGTGCATTTTTTTCAGAGGAGAATGATTGGCAGTGGTGATATTAATACTACAAGGTGAACTATATCCCATTCTGACTAGTCCAAAATACTGTTTTAATAGCAAGAGGTGTAATAATCACCTGCTGAAATGAGTTTTCATATGAAAAGGTGGGTTTTTTTTCTTGCTCCAAACACTACTATTTTAATATAATAAATTTCAAAATGTCATTTTTTTCACTATTTTTCCCACTTAGAAATCATTATAAAAGCTGTATCACCGAATAGCTGACAGTAGCAGCTTCACAGTTAAGTGCTACTTTTCACTTTAAAGTAGCACTCCCTCCTTCGGTGTTATTTAAAATTGATGATGCTACTTTCAAAAAGAAAGCATCTTGTCCATCAATTTCTGACTATTTTTTTTTTTTGGTTTCTACCTGACGGGGAACTGTTCTACAATTAAAGAAAGTAAGAAAAGTTTCACTTACACTTGTTTTTCCCCAAGGAAAAAAGAACGAAGTCCTATAAGAAAAGTTTGAATGAGACCTTTCCTGCCAAAATCTCCTTGGGAAAAACTTTTCTTCTCTGCTGTGTATTAGATGTGACCTTTTCCTTCTTCTTCATGAAACACTAAATTAAACCTCTTCCCAGCTGAATGATGTATGCAATGTGTTTCCTGGCTGTCATTTTTATGTTCTACATGATAGGTGTAATCTAGGGTGCAGTGTTGAGACAGCCAGCTTCATCTGCACCCTTCTGGCCAGACTTCTTAGCTCTTCAGCTGCTCAGTAACACCTGAGATGCTTTCAAATTAAATCAGCGCTGTTTAATCTATAGGGATTTATGCAGTATTTGCTTTGAATCATAGTTGAGAACTATACATCAAAAGACCATCTTTATAAAAATATGTAAAGTAGGAATGAACAACAGAGAAAGAATTATCCATATACAGGAATGGGATTTGCAGAAAAGAGCTGTCCAGAGATGTTTAAAACAACCTTTAATACCCAGACATGGGCATTTTCCTGACCCTCATTTTCCTTTTCATTGCAGGCGTAACAAGTAGAAAGTTTCCTTTTCGTATTTGTATAGTTGTTGAAAGTCTGAAAAAGTAAACTTCTGCCATCCCTGTAGCAGTAGGCAATGGAGAAACACCTCGTCTAACCCCCCCAGAATTCTAGGTTCCAGCCTCAAAAGGCTCTGGCTGATCCTTTACATATTTACAGAAAGCAATGTCAAATATCACACAGCTTAAATGTTTGCTAATGGAAAGACACACAGGGTCAAGAAGGTTTACACTTCTTTGCGCTGCTATAAAAAGCTCTGCAGCACCTCACAGTTCCCCACAAGGAGGATTTGTCTTCTTGTTGTTAATCTAATTTTCTATCCCACTTGCTCTGGTTCAGCAGGGCACCGAGTGGGTCTCACTCCCTGTCCCAGAAGTGGTGGGACACTTAAACTGGTGTTTGAGTGGTGGGACATACTTAAACTGGTGCTTAAGTATGAAACATACTGCTACATGGGATAGTTCTCTCACTAGAATTTCAAATCCAGTTCTACGTTTTTGTTTCATAGTTTTATTTTATGCTTAAAAGAATCGGAGTTATAGCCACTTATCATTCCAAGGTGTTGGCTGAGAGACAGAGGTGTATCTGCTGCTTTGTGCATAGTCCTCCCCAACTAGGCAGCTACAGTAGCTACAAGACAGTCACATAGCCAGAAGAAAGTTATAGAGGAACTATGTAGTAGCTCCTCTAGAGCATATTCATATTCATCTCAGTCTTAAGACATGGCTAATTGTTGACATGGGAGCAGAAACAATTTATTGGTGTATGTTTATTACAATTGTAAGGTTCTCTGGTTACAAACCACATTCAGTATTTTTTTATGGTTGAACTCACCCTCACCTGGGTAATTTCACAAGATCTCAATGCTTTTATGGTGGTGTAAGGCAGTTTACATGTGAAACAGGAGTATATCCATTTCGTGCCTAGTCTGGAACAGGGATGAAGAAGAAGTAGGTGATACGCGATAGAGGACTATTAAATCTTGTGTGGCATAAGAAAGGTTTACCTCTGGCAAAACATGGACTAAGAGGTGCTTATAGTTTCTTAACAGGGAGCAGGTTTAAAACAAAGCAGAGTCTGTACTTCACACAACATAGAGTTATGGATCTCCTTGCTGCAATATATGGTTTAGTAGGCGATAAAAGTTTATGGCTTCAAAAAGGAACCGGAGAAGTGCATAGAAGAAATATCCCTTGGGAGCTGTGGTCATCCTCTCCCACTCCACTAATATACAAACTGAAAATAACTGAAATCTGGGAAAGCAGCCTTCCCAAAGTTGTGGAAATATCATGATGCGTTTGCCCTGCTCTTATACTCTTCCGTAGAAACAGGATCCTGGATGGGGGAAAGTTGGCCTTGCTCCATGGGGCTTTATGTTCTACATTTATTCAGCATTGCAAGCTTGAAATTCATAGAGAAATTTACTTCTGTAAATCAAGTTATAAAACTAGGTCCTCAGTAGACGTGTTGCTTTAATTGTTAGCTGTGAAGTTAATTTGCCAAGATCCAATAGCTCTGTCTCCAGTGACGGCCATTATTTTCATACAACAAATGTGGTATCAGCAATTTTTATAGCCTTTTAATATGTTTTCTTCTAAGACAATGCTGCATGGAGAATAGCTTAATGATCCAAATTGCAACAAGTTTTAGCTACCAAAAAATGAGCTTATAATGCCGCTTAATGTATTCAATGAATTATCACTTGCCAGGAACATACCACTCTGAAGGCAGAGAAAGCAAGACACCATGTTTGCTTTACAGGGGCCTTGCTCTTTGTTATTTGCAAGGAAATGCAATACAGAAAGAAGTTAAAGCATAACCCAGAGTGGAGTCCTCCAATAAGAATGTGCAGGTGAACTTAGAGTGATATTTTCCCTGAGATAACTAACATTAAGGCAAGACAGTCCTGGCAGTAAATGGATAACGGGTCTGAATGTGCCTTCTAAGTCAAAGGTATAGCGATAGTTGAGATCACAAAACCCAGCAATCTCAGAAGTCTGTGAAGAGTCCCACTGATTTCAGTGGGCTTTGTATCAGGAGTTCCCCTTCAAATACCTTTACTTTTTTCATTAGAAATGAACAAATTTTCCAATTATAACTTTAACTTAGGTTTTCTTTTTTGATGAATATGAAACCGGTGCCAGTCAAGCAAGCCAGCAAGCACGTGGAATTCCTCATGTTCTGCAACTACTCTCATCTGAAAATGGATGAGATAGAACCTGGAAATGGGGTGCTTTGAGAAAAGTGTTGTGATTTGAGAGCAGCTTGGGGTTCAGCCACAAGAAAAACCTGGTGTCAGCGGCTCCTCAGCACCTGGCTGTGTGCCTGGTCCTACCTTGCCACAGATCCCTCAT